CACCCGTGCCAGTAGGAAGACAAAGAGGGATTGAGACGGGATCCAGGGGCTTGGCAGTGGGCCACACAGGCCTCATCGGCCGCCCAGACTCGTGCCAGGCTTGCCCACCTGCCATCCTGGGACCCCAGAACCACTCTTCTGCAGAGAGCCCAGAAGTAGACACAAGACCTCCCGACTCAAACCCACCCTGCAGCCCAGGAGGGACGTTCCAGCCTGTCCTCTCCCAGCTGGATCAAGGGTAGCAGGCATAAGCAGCCGCTCAGACCTGTGGTCCCCCCACTTCTGAAGCTGGGGCCAGGTTGGGCCAGACACATCTCAGCCACTGCTGCAGCGCTGGGTCTGAGGAGCTGGAGTTGGGTGGGTCGTGAGGAACCCCAAATACAAGCCTCGGGCCTCTGGTGGCCTTACCCACAGGCTCCAGAGCACCCCTACTCTGCTGGGGTCATGCAGGAGACTTCAGTGAAGATGGCCTGAGCTCACCACAAACCAAGGGTGTGCACACAGGCACCCTGATTCTGTTCAGCTTTTAAAAGCCTGAGTCCAGCATTCAGGAGCCTGAGATGGCAGGTCACAGAGCCAGGCTGGGCCACACAGTGAGTCCTATCTTTGATACACAGGGAGACCCTGGCCTCCTCGTCCAGACCCCGTCTCCAAGAAAGAGAAAATGTCTGAGTCCACATGCACATGCAGGGAGGGGCCCAGGCACCCCAATGCTGTCCCAAGCACTGCACACAGGGCCTGTCCTATGGTACAGGAGACCACAGGCAGGAGCAAGTGGCCACACTCTTCCTCCCCTCCCATCCACACCTTCCCCTGCCCCATGAAGGCCCTGACAGCCCATCTCCCCAGCAGCTCTGAAAGGATTACAGGCCACCCCAGCTCACAGTGACCCTGCAGCTATCCTGCCCCTGAGGCCAGCTGACGTGCAGAGGCCTGGCCACACCACTTTTCCCGGAGCGGGGACCCTGCAGGTCCTGCCCACAGCTATCCCCAGTAGCATTGCCTGTCCCACCCAGGACCTGCAGGCAGACTGTCCCCACTGCCATTGGTGACTCACAGTCACTGTACCTGTCCAGCAGCTGCAGAGAATGCCACAGGGCAACACAGAAAGAGGAAGAAACCTGCAAGCAACTGCTTCGGAGTCTCTCAGAAGGACTCTCAGCTGTCACTGCAGTCCCAGTGGTGACTGGAAGCAAGACTGCGGTTCTTGAAGGGGAAATGACAAGGTGGTGGGTACAGGGCCACTGCCCTGGCTGCACCGTGCCAGCCCCTGGCAGAGTGACCCAGGCTTCCAGGTCCCACACCCCTGGCATTCTCCCTCTGTGACCGCATGACCTCTACAGGGCTCCACTCCACCATGAGGATCCTTGGGGATCCTTGGCGCTCATCAGGGGCTCCTGCAGACAGGAGGGGGGCTTTCCAGACTGTTCAGACAAGCTCCCTTGCAAGCTTCTCGAAAGTCTCAGGCCAAGGCCCTAATAGGTTCTGTAGCCTTGAACCAGGCCTGCTGCCCAGCACCCAAGTGAGCAGAGACCAGTAGGACCTCAAGGAGAGGAGAGACCCAGGGACAGGCCTCTTGCAACGGAGAGTGTATGCGCAACGAGGCAGGGCACCAAGGGATGACTTAAGAGCTCAGCTAGTGCACAAGTGTAGTCCCAGAGGCTGAGCACCGCGACCAGAGTGCTTCAGCCCAAAAGAGGGTGGTTATGTGCGGAGCGGGGTTGGTCAGCACGCAGAGGGGCGCAAGGCCAGAGCCCAGGCCTCGGCAGGCAGGTGTGCAGCCAAATAGGGGCGAGAGGTTCCCCGTGGTCCCGCGGAGGACGTCCCGCAAGCAACCTGCACCGCGCGGCAGCCGGGCGGAGGGAAAGTTGGCAGGAGCGCGGCGCCGCGGGGGAAGCGTTCACGGGCAGCCGGGTGGGAGCCGCGCGCCTGCTCGCCCACGTCACGCCGGTGCGGGCTCGGCTGACGGCCGCGGCGCCTGGGGACGCTGGCGCGCTCTGCTCGCCAGGTGCTCCGCCTGGAAATGTCTCCATTAGTTGTCGCCCGCTCCCCTCCGGAGCGCGCGCGCCGAGCGGCCGCACAGAGCCCTCTCCGGCTGCCAGGCGCTGCCCGGCGCACCCGCAGGTAGGCGAATCCTGGTCCCAGTCCCGCTCCCCGTGCCTCGCCGCCCCCGCCCCGGGCTCCAAGACCCCTCCCCCTGCGCGGGGGGCGGAGGCTCGCGCGGCGCCGAGGGGCGCGGGCGGTGGTGGCGCGGCGACTCGGTGCGTCCTGGGCTGCGCGCTGCTCGGCGGCCCGGGCGCCAGCGGCGCGGGCTGGCGCTCCCGGCGCAGGTAGGCTCGGTCTCGGCCACGCAAACTTTGCCAGGGTCGCTCAAGCGCTGGAGGGGACAAAGTTTTCTGCTTGCTGCTGGGGTCTCCGGAGGGCGTCACGAAGACGGCAAGTTTCAGGAAACGGCTTGGGGAGGAACGCGAGGCTCCCAGCGCGGGGCGCGGGTTGCGTAGAGGGACTCGGCCTGGGCCTCGGGCACCGCGGCTGTGTTCCTGCCGCTCCAGACAGCGCCCCGAGAGCAAGGGTCGGGCGCCGTGGGCGAGCAGAGAGACGGGGTTGGAGGGGGGAGGCTTGGGGACCGGGACTTGGTGCGCACTCTGTGTGGTCTGGGTGCCCCAGAGTGACGCCTGGAGCCAGAGGCTCCAGGCCCAGGGGTCTGCTCACAGTGCGTAGGATAGGCGCCTGGCTCGGTCCAGGGCCTCAGGAGACAGAGCTTTGCTGAGCACCCGCACTCCAGCCTGTGTAGTAGCCAGGGGTCAACTTAGCTTGGCTGAAAAGCGCTCGCTGCAGGGTGACCCGGGTTTGGTCTGAGCTCTGGGGCTGGGCTGGTCACAGGAATGTTGGGCCGGGCCTGTTTCCCTTGAGGCCTTCCCTCTCAGAGGGCCAACACCAGGAACAGAAAAACAGGTGGCCCTTGGACTGCTGGCATGTGGAACTGAGGTCCTGAGGCCCCCAGCCCCTGCGGCCTGCTCGGGCCCTCTCTGCACTGTATCAGCTTTACCAAAGCTGAGCGACCTGTCCTCACCCTTGGGGCTGCTGGGTGTATTTACACCCCGCCTGCAGGCCAGGGGCACCATGCTGCTCCAGGAGGCTCACCTAGCTTAGAGCCCTGGTCTGTCCTCTTGCTGATTTGATACCTCAGCTCAGGCCTGGGCTTTTACAAAGCTCACAGGACAGTTATCCCTGTTTTCCTGAGACACAGGTGGCCTAGTGTCCTTGCCCTGGGCAGGGACCAGGGCCAGACTGCAGATCACTGGCAAAGTGTCCAGAGTATGGGCCAGAGGCCAGCAGAGCTTGCTTCCAGGACTGGAGATGGAGCCTGAGTGGGCCAGACAAAGTGGCAAGGTCCCTGCATGGCCGGGTGAGGCCTCAAGGCCACTGAGGCCTGGGGCTCCCCGGAGATGGAGGTGAGTCGGTAGCAGCCAGGAAGTGGGGTCCACGTAGCCAGATTTCTGAGTGTGGGAAAGGGCCACCCCTGAGAACTAGGGGGTTGCTGGGGACTCGAAGACTCTGTAGGCCTGGAGGCTACAAGGCAGACCCAGGAGCCTGGAAGGGTCTAGGAAGCCCACAATGCTTCCCCAAAGCTCCTGGGACTGCATGCTGCTGCCCCAATCCAAGCTGGGCATAACACTCAGGACATGGGCGCCACCTGTTCAGGGTCAGCCTCATGCCAGCTGGACCTGGTCTCCAGGGAAGGGAAGGGAAAGGTGCAGCCTGGGTGGAGCTCCAGGGCACAGGCCATTGAGACCTACCCCAGCCTACATGGTGGCCCAGGGCCTGGGCCGGGAAAGGGGCCATTAGAAGGGCCAGTGACTGTGCAGCACCAGCCCCTCATCCCTGGGGCCCTGCTCACCTCCATCTCGTTACCAGGAGAATGCCAGTTGTTTGTAAACAATAATGGGAAGCAGGAGGATGCTGGACTGCAGAGGACAGGGTTGGGAGGCGGGAGCCAGGCAGGGAGCACAGGATGAAGAGGGAGCCCGAGATTCATTTCCACGGAGAAGCCCCGTGGCTACTTTCTGATTATTTACAGGAAGCTGGTATTAGCAATTCAGGTGAGAAAGAAAGAAACAGGGCCTGCCACAAAATCAATACAGAATTCAGAAACAATTATTAATGTCATTTGACTCTTGTTCTTTATATATCTCTCCCGGCTACCACGCTAAACTGTCTGAATAATTTGCATGGGCGGCTATTCATTATTTCTGATGGTTTCCCTTTGCCAGCCTCTCGGACGTGGCCGGCTGCGGTCCAACGCGATCGGAGAACTCGTATTTTCATCTGTAAATTAAAGCAATTACGCAGCAGATATTATATGATGTGTACTGCGGTCTCCAGATAGTCATCAATCACCTTCAACAGAGCTGTCAGAGGCGGCAGATTTTGTTTCTGGGAGGCAGCCTTGCAGCTGGGGAGAGGGTGAAAACGTCATCCTTAATTAGAGAGTGACCCTGGGGCTATTCACAGGTCTGAACCCAGGAATCTTCCCGAACAAGTCTGCACAGGGCCGCCGCGCGGTTCTACTCCAGCCGGGCCCCGAGGACCGCGGAGCCCCAGGCAGCGAGAGTTCCGGGGAGCCTGGTGCCCCCTTGCCTCCAGCGCACCAGCTCCGATCACAACTCGGGCAAGGTCCCAGCGGGCCTGCTGTGGGTCCCGGGCAGGGCACTCGGACCTCCCCGGGTTCCGGTGCGGACCAGGCTAGAGGCGGCGCGAGACGGGGCCTCCGGGGCAGGTGCCCAACATCTCTCTCCCCAGCTCCCGGCCGGCCCGGGTGCAGTGAGCCTGCGAGGGGCCTTGCTTACTTGGGAACCTGCTCTCTGCGCGGGCGCGCAGGGGCAGCCGGCCGTCCCCGGCTAGACGAGGAGGGGCAAGGGGCAGCCAAGGGGGTGGCCTGGGGGCGGGGCGGAGAGGAGAGGAAGGGGAGGGAAGCTGCGGTGGGCTGAGCGGGAACTTCGGCGACCCGGGAGGGGGAGGGGCCTCCGCCGGTGTCACCGAGAAGTCCTGGTTGGCACCACCGCCTCGGGCGCGGGTCTAGAGAGGCTCCGAAGCTCCTGCCCACGCGGCGCTGCATGCTGAGCCGTGGGCCGGAGTGAAGTCCGCAGGTGGCCCCGGCGAGCGCAGTGGAGGGCTGGGGCGCCTGACGCGCGGCTGTGAACAATGGTGCGTGGGGCGCGGCCCCTCCACCGCAGCGCGGCGCATCTTGAGCGTTGATCACATCTTCACCCGAGACTCACCCGCGTGTCCCCTCTAGGTCTCATTTGTAATTGAGACTAATGATTACAGGGGGGGCGGGAAGGAGCAGCTGCTCATTAATTAATTTCTAATTAAAAGTGCCTTCCTTGCCGGTGACTAAGGAGGAACACACTTCTCCGGGGCGTATTGACTGCGGGCCTGGAGCCCATTCGTTACCGTCCCGCGCCCCGCGCCACTGTCCCCGCCCCGCCCGGACCGGGCCGAGTGACCCGCGCGTCCGCGGCCGGCGTGGGCTGACGTCAGAGCCCCGCCGAGAAAGCGGCGTACGTCTGACTTGACGGTTCGCGCGACTCGTTTTTCCCCATATTTTGCAAAATATGTATTTCTGTCGCCGCTGCGAGGCCGGTCGGTCCCAGAGCCTCCTCGAGGCCCGGGGTTTGGACGCGGAGGCCGCCGCCGCACGCCTCCGGGCCCGGCTGGGGAACTTGGCCGCGGGGCGCCGTAACCTGCTCTCGCGCTTCGCCCTCCCAGCGCCTAGGAGCCCGCAGCCCCGAGCCAGCCCCGCGCGCCCCGGGCCGCCCCGCCATGTCCTACCCGCAGTTCGGATACCCCTACTCCTCCGCCCCGCAGGTAAGGGGGCCCGCGGCGCCGGCTGAGCTCCCGCGCTGACCCCGCCTGCGCCCCGCGAGCCGAGGACCCCGGGGGCCCAGGCGGCCGGAGGGGGCTGGGCGCGCGGGGGTCTCGGGGGCGCGGGTGCGTGGGGTCCCGGGCCGGCCCGGCGCGCCCTTCCTCGCCCCTCTCCCCGCAGTTCCTCATGGCCGCCAACTCCCTGGGCGCGTGCTGCGAACCGGGGGGCCGCGCGCTGGCAGAGTCCGGCCCCGCCGCGCCCGCGCAGGCGCCCGTCTACTGCCCGGTCTACGAGGGCCGGCTGCTGGCCACGGCGCGCCACGAGCTGGGCTCGGCGGCGCTCGGCGTCTACGGGGGCCCCTACGCTGGTGCGCAGGGCTACGGCAACTACGCCGCCTACGGCTCCGAGGCGTCGGCCTTCTACTCGCTGGTGAGGCCCCCGACGCCCCCTGCCCCGGTGCGTGGGTCCCGGGTCCCCGCTGCGGGGTGGGAGGGAGCCGGGCGGGCGCCGCGCTCCAGCCGGGTCGGGGACCTAGGGGGCGGTGTGCAGCGTGTGTATTGTTTCCCTTCTAATCAATCACTAGCTCGGCTGGAGCGCGCACTGGGGCCTCCTCGGCGGCCGGCCCCGTTCCCTCCCCTCCTCCAGCCCTGCATCCCCCTCCCTCTCCTCACCCACTCCCCTCTTCCCACCCTACGTTTATGCTTTCCCGGACACCGCACTCTTCCTCCCTCCCAATTCACCCTGGGGACCCCGTGCTGCAGCTAGGATTAGGCTCTCCCGAGGGCAGCGCGAGGGAGCGAGGGGGCAGGGGTGCCAAACTGGGGTGTGTGTCTGAGTTGTGACCCGAGTGCTTCCTGGTCCTACAGAACACGTTCGACTCTAAGGATGGGTCAGGATCTGCCCATGCGGGGCTCACACCAGCCGCAGCTGCCTACTACCCCTATGAGCCGGCCCTGAGCCAGTACTCCTATGACAGGTGAGGGCAGGCAGGAGGGGGAGGCCCAGCTCTTCACGCGGCCGCCCCCACGTTACTCTTTGGGGTCCGATAGGGTGCTTCCTTCCCGTGACATTGGATCTGGAAGGCCCAGGAGGCTGGGCCAATCGAGGCCTTGGGCGCCTCCGTGCGCCCCAGGAGGTGCAACCCCCTACCCGCAGGGGAACCAAGGAGGAAACCCCACACCCAGTCTAGGAGGACACCAGGGCCAGGCGCTCCAATTCCAATTCAGCGCATTCCCCCAGCCCCATTGGCTCCTCCATTTGGCGGGAGACTCCTTCCACCCAGGCCGGACACCTCGTGTGCAGCCCTCGTGTCTGCGGGATGCGTCCACGCTTTGGGGATCAAAGGCGGAGGAGCAGAGTCCCGTAAAGTAGTCAGGGGAACATCTCTTCAGAATGACAGGGGCCGTGACCTCTGGCTTGGGAAGGAGCCAGCTCCCTGTCATTTTAATAACATTATCTGTGCCCTGGCCATAAAAGGAGGGGAGCGCGTACCCCAGGCCATGGCCCACGCCAACCCCAGTCACCCAACCATACTAACCGCAAACCTTCCCGGGAGGCAAAGCCGCGCCCCCGCCCGCCCCAGCGCCCCTGCCCCTGCCCCCACCCTGTGACCCTGTCTGCAGGTACGGAACCATGGACAGCGGCACACGGCGCAAGAATGCCACGCGGGAGACCACCAGCACGCTGAAGGCCTGGCTGCAGGAGCACCGCAAGAACCCCTACCCCACCAAGGGCGAGAAGATCATGCTGGCCATCATCACCAAGATGACCCTCACGCAGGTCTCCACCTGGTTCGCCAACGCGCGCCGGCGTCTCAAGAAGGAGAACAAGATGACGTGGCCACCCCGGAACAAGTGCGCCGAGGACAAGCGGCCCTACGCCGAGGGCGAGGAGGCGGGCGAGGAGGAGGAGGCCAGGGAGGAACCCATCAAAAGCGCCAAGAGTGAAGGTGGGTGGAGGTTGGCCTTAGGGAGCCCCCACCCTCCCCACGGGTGCAAGTACTCCCGAGGCAGCGAAGAGGGTGAGCGGGCTCTGGGTCCCTCCGCATTTGAGGTCCCTGGGGTGCCACGGGAACAGAAAGTCCCCTTTCACAGTATGGCATGCGCATTAACTTCAAGTTGGACTCCACCCAGTCTTTGGTGTTGGTCCTCCCGGGCAGGACTCCCGGGGTCCCCATAAAGTGTAAGCGGAGGGGGAGCCCTGACTGACCGGACCCTGTCCCTTCCAGTGACCGAGGCTGCAGGAAAAGAGGACAAGGAGTTAGAGCTCAGCGACCTGGATGACTTTGACGCCCTCGAGGCCGAACCCCAGGAGTGCGAGCTGAAGGCTTCCTTCTCGGCCTTGGACCGCGGCGCCCTGGAGCGTGTCCCCGCCCAGCCCGAGGGCCCCGCCCCTCTCCCAGGAGTCCTCAGCAAGGAGGCCTCAGGCGCCCTCCGGATGCCCCTGGCTGCTGCCGGAGGGGGCACCGTCCTGGACGAGGACCTGCAGGGGGCCGGGATCTGCCTCCGGAGTGCAGCGGCTGGGCCCGAGCCGCAGTCAGGCACAGAGGGCAGTGGCCCGCGAGCCTGCGAGGCCAAGCTGGGCTTTGCACCCGCCGGGGTGTCTTCAGGCCTGGAGACCAAGCCGCGCATTTGGTCCCTGGCCCACACGGCTACCGCTGCGGCCAGCGCCCTGAGCCAGACTGAGTTCCCCTCGTGCATGCTCAAGCGCCAGGGTCCCGCTGCCCCCGCAGGTGTATCATCGACGCCAGCCACATCTTCGCCCGCAGCCCCAGCCCCTGCGGTGGCCCTGGACAGGCACCAGGACTCCCCAGTGACCAGCCTCAGAAACTGGGTGGACGGGGTCTTCCACGACCCCATCCTCAGGCACAGCACTTTGAACCAGGCATGGGCCACCGCCAAAAGCGCCCTCCTGGACCCAGGGCCACTGGGACGCTCGTTGGGAGCAGGCGCAAATGCGGTGACTGCGCCCCTGGCCCGCAGCTTCCCTCCCACTGCACCCCAGGACAGCCCAGCTGCTGGCGCCACTAGGGAGCTGCTGGCGCTGCCCAAGGTGGGCGGCAAGCCCTTTTGCACCTGAGCTGGCGCGAGCCAAGAGCAGGGTAGGGCGCGACACTATGGAGTTTCCACGGAAGGCAAGGCCCCGCCCCGGAGAGGGAGGGGCCGACCTTGGTCTCCCGGGCTTTGGGCGGAGTCCAGTCCTGCCTGCAGTCCCACCCTCTCCCCAGCCCCTACCTGGTCCCCAGTCGTCAGCTACCCCAGCCTTCCTTAAGTCTGAACCTGCCTGAGAGCGCTCGGAGTGCGGGAGCCGCAAGCATAAAGTTTACGTCCAAAGTTTACACAGGGAAGGCGTGGGGGTCCGGGCACACGTGGGGCTGCGTAGCGCAGCGCGCGCCTCCGACCCCATCCTGCCCTCGGCGCCCACGACAGAACCTCCACCGACCTCGCACTGCTGCACACTCTTGACCTGAAACAGTTACGCTTTTTAAATGTTATGTGCGCACCAATAATTGCCTGCTTCAGAGAGGCTGATGGAACGAAACCAATAAAACCTTGTGGCGGTGTTTGCGTTGCAGAAAACAACACATTTTGAACTCGGGGACTCGGCCGAGGCGGAGGGTGGGCGGGGAACGCACCAGAACCTGCCCTGCACCCCCAATAGTCCCTGCCAGCTCAGGACAGAGCGCAGCGCACTGTAGAGGACCTGGCTCTGAAGTTACAGGGGCGCCCGGGCCTGAAACTTTTAAATTCTTACTCTTCTCCAGAATCCATGCTGGGTCGCTTCGACTGGATCAGAATTAAACTTTCTGAGTTCCTGGGGCACTGGCCTGGCTGAGCTGTGGCTGCCTCTGGCGGTCTCAGCTCTGAGCCTTGCCCCTGGCCGCCTTCTGGGACCCCGCAGCCTCGGGCGGTACTCACAGCCCCGACCCTGCCCACCAGCTCTTGCCCCTTTAGGGCGGCCTTTGGCTTCCCCTGCTCTGAAAGAGAAGCGAGAGCCAGCTGCCAAGGAGAAGCTTGCAGTAGGCAAGGCCGGGATGAGTGGAGAGGGAACTCTGGGGGCGAGAAAAGTGAGGGAAGAGCCTGGCCTGGGCCTTCTTGGTTCCCAAGCTGGGTGGGCATAGCTGGCCCCCCAGACCCTCTGTGCGCCTGCTGCTGGTGGCCGGTCCAGCCTGCTGTCCTCGGCGTCTCCCTCCCTCTCGTGTCTTCCGGGTGATGTTCCCCCTGCCCCCCCCCACCCCCCCCCCCCGCTATGCGCCTGCTTTCCACCTGCACTAAAGCCTTGAGTGGCCAGCCTGTGCCTTAGGGGAAGGGAGAGAGGGACTGGGCAGCCCCTGCCCAGTCCTTGTCCACATGATAGCCACAGAGATGCTGTCGGAGGCTGGGGACCACTGTCCAGTGGACAGGTACACAGTTGCAGACGGAGCTCGCCTCAAGACGCAGGGTGGGCAGGGAGGGACTGCCCCAGAGTCCTAAGTTCCAGAAATGGCCCCAAGGGGCGGAGCCCTGGGAGAGCAAGCCCAGCAGGTGGGAGGGCTAGTGTTAGGGTGCATCTCAGGGCCCTTCAGAGAAGCCACAGCCGCCTTGCAGGCATTTCTGGGGCTCTCTGATACCCCAAGTGGTGGGACCCCAGATGGTGTGGACCAGGCCTTCAGTCCAGGGCGCGCACCCAGGCCGCCTCGGAGCTGGGCCGGCCGCGCGGTAATTGGATTGTACCCGGCCTGGCGCTGTCACCGCGTTGACTTTCGCTCCCATGGATGATATTATCGAGACTCGGAAGCTCGCCGCTGATGTGCCTGTCAAAAGCCCGCGGCGGGAGCCCCGGCCTGGCGAGCAAGCATCAGCCAAGATAATTTGAAGTGAAATTTTCATTTTGACAGTAAACCCTCAATTTCTAAAGGCTGCGCGCTCTAGAGCTCGCTGGCAGGGGAGGCTTTGCAGAAAGCCCACGTCTTAGACTGAAAAGGGCAAAAGAACTCGAATTAGTTGTAATAGATAAAAGGGCAAAAATAAAGAGTCAAGGGTACTTGACAGTGATAGCGCGAGGGGCGTCTCGGGGGAGACTGGCTGCGCGAGGCGGGGCGGCAGGAATCTTAATGCGGCCGGGAGGCCAGCGCGCGCCCCACCCCGGCCTAGACAAAGCCAGGCCCTCTGGAGGAAAGAGGGCGCGGGCTGGGGCGCAGAAGCGGGTCTGGGGGCGCCGCCGGGCGGTACTGGGCTCCAGACCCCTTCCCTGGGTGCGCCAGGCCCTGGGGCTGCTGTGGCCCCTAAGCGCGTGTCCCGCTGGGGACCCCTGCCAGCGCTGGGAGCTCCACCCCCCAGGAGCCCCAACCTGGCGGGGACAGAGGGCTAAAGTGGCTTAAATGACCGGGAAATGAAGATATCAAGGCGGGGCTCAGCACGCTCCAGGGCGCACAGCCGCCCACCCCGGGCAGGCGCTGGTCCCGAGCCCGCCCCTACCTGGGGAGCCCCGGGGCTTTGCGCTCCCCAGACCTGACCCCACCTCCGGCGGTGGGGCGCCACCCATGCGGACCCGGCCCCCCGCTCCACCCCCCCCCCAGGGTGTCAGGAAGGGGCCGGCTCAGAGGCAGCGGCGCGGGGACGCACTGGCCACTGGCCACTCAGGCGTGGCGAATGCAAACGCGCAGAGGAGCGGCTAAATTAACGGCGCTCTCTACATGGCGCCAAATAAAACTGTAATCAGCGGCGCGTTACTTTTCATTAAGCGAGGCTGACAGCGGCGGATTCGGGCCGGCCCGGAGCAGCGCGGGAAATATACGGCCCGGCCGCCGCCGCCCGCGCCGAGATGATTCCTTAAGCTCCATTAGCGCTCCTAGCCGCAGGAAATGGGCTCCGAAAACGGCTCCAAATCTAAAAGCTTTATCGACCCCTCAAACCCTGGTTGATGGCTCCATTTTTTCTTCTTTTTTCTCTTTCTTTCTTTCTTTCTTTTCTTCTTTTTTTTTTTTTAACATAAGGAGAGACATCCAGCGAGGTAATAGAGTCTGACAGGACACCTTCTTCAGGAGAGAGAGCCGGGAAGCCAGCCCTTAAATGATATTTAAAAGGCAACCAATTAAGATTTAAAGTGGTCGTCTCCTGAGATTATGCACGCAATTTATGCCACCTACTTCTCCTGCGTGGCCCTGGCTGTGCAGACGAGACAGCCGGTGATCGTGCTCTCCCTCCCTCTCTCCGGGTCTGTCTCTGCCACTCTCTGTCTCCCTCTGTGTCTCTCCCTGTATCTCTCTCTCTGTGTCTCTCCCTGTATCTGTGTGTGTGTGTGTGTGTGTGTGTGTGTGTGTGTGTGTGTCTCCCTGTCTCTGTCTCTCTGTCTCTCTCTGTATCTCTCTTCCTCTCTGTCTGCCCCCCTCCCCTCACCCTCTCTTCTGGGCAAGGACCCTCAGGCCCACCCTTGGAAAGGCACACACCCCAAGGTGGCCTCTCACAGGATCTGGCCTTGCTAGTGGGGACAGGGGCCCTCAGACAGCGACTCCCTCCCATGAACTGAGGGAGGGAGTCCTGCTCACTCCCTCTTCCCTCCCTGGTGCAGCTACCTTCTCTGGCTCTTCCAAGTCCTGGAAGACCTGGCTCCCTCGTTCTCATTGGAACCACCAAACCCAGGGCTCCCCTGGGAAGGCACAAGGTCTGGTGACCCTTTGATGTGACCTAGTCAAGGCTTGAGAAGAGGACCCAGACCAATAGGGGAGGGGAGGACCCAGAGACACAGGCCAAAAGCAGAGGCCTTGGGGTAGGGGTGGGGTGGGGGAGCAGAGGGCAGCCTTCCCGAGCTGGGCACCCACCAAGTGCTGGGGGGCACTGGGGAGCAGCAGGGAGGTGGCCCACAGGCCTGCTCACACTCACACTTGAGATACCCCAACTCCCTCTGCACCCATCCCAGGACCCCAAGAGGGTGCTGCTTCCACGCGCCCCAAGCCTGCTGTGCACCCAAACCTGCCATGCACCTTAAGCCTTGAGAGTGAGCCCATTCCACCCCCCAGGATCCCCAGGCAGCCACTCTGGATTCAGGAAGTGGACACTGCACCCTGGAGTCTGAGGGCCTGAATGAAGGGAGAGAGACAGGAAAGAGCTGCTGGGGCTGGCAAAGGCAGAGGTGCAAACGAGGACCCAGCCACTCCGTTCCCACAGTCAGCATGGGCCCTGTGACCTCCAAGCCACTCTGGAGCCAGCTGTGCTGAACACAGGGCAGCAGTCACACAGCCACTTCGCAGAGGAGCCAGGGAGGACTCGTGGCCAAAGGCACCGGCTGAGCTCAGCTGATGTCTCTGCTTTCTGGGTTGCTGTGTTCCAGCAAAACACATCTCCATCGCGCAGCTGTGTTTGCCACACCTGGAGACAGACACCCGCTAGCTTTGGACCCTGTGGCCCAGCACCACTGGGTATTGAGCTCCGCGCCCTGGGCTGGCAGCGCTCCCCAGCAATTGAGTACACCAGGCCCTCTGAGTGGCATGGCTCTGAAGAGTGACCCAGCTGTGGGGAGCAGGACGGTATAGCCCCTCCTGGGGACTCAGTGGGTATCCAGGATTGTGACAGCTGTGGAGGATACCCAGACCCAAGACCAGGCCAGTGGGAAGGATAAAGGCCATAGGATGTGAGCCCAGGAACTCACACTGCGTGCAGGGACACGCGGGGTGGGGGGGGCAGAAGCATGTTTGTTTGGGGACAGTGTTGTCACAGGAAGGCATGAGGAGGCCAGTGGGGTGGAATCTGCTGTGCAGGGTGCTGGGAGCCCCTCAGAGAAGGTGCAGCACCCACCTGAGCAGAGGCCACGTGGTGTGAGTCACAGCTCGGTCCCTCACCCATCGGCTAGAGGAGTCTTTGCTGGCTTCAGCCAGGAAGCCTTAGAGCAGAGTGATAAACACAGGGGCCTGGGGACAGAGCAGGGGCCAAGCATGCAAGCACAGGAGGCACTGAGGGGAGCTCTCCGTCCTAGCTCAGCAGGAGACCCCACCCCGCCTTCCCAACACCCCTGAGCCCAGAGGCCTGTGTGCAGCCGCAGATTCTCCCAGCATCATCCTGGGCAGCCCAGGACCAGGGTGGCCTAGAAGATGAGATGGCCCTGAACCTTCGAGCTGTGGTGAACAGGGTGAACTCACACTGCTTATGTGCACACACTCGTGTACAATCAAATATACACACACTCATACACGCCCTCACCCATGACCACAGTGCACACAGCCCTCTCCTTCCTCTCTCTGGTTCAATCTCTGTCTCCCTCCCTCTGTCTCACAACCACACTGTCCAGTGTACACACAGGAGTGCACACACACACACACACACACACACGCATGGGCCTGCAGGCTCCCAGGGCTACAGGCCTCCTTCAGCAGCAGGATTGAGGTAGGAGGATACAGGGTCAGCAGTGGCCTCCTACAGGCACAAATCTGGCCTGGAAGGAACCTTCTCACTGTGTCTGTCTGGGGCCTGGGGTCTTTGTTTTGAGGGGGGTAGGGCACCAGGGGAACCTTGCTGGGTCCAGGACACTATTGCTGGTACCTGCTGCCCGGGAGGACCTCACTCTTGGGCTGTGCAGGCAACAGAGCCACATTTTGTGCTGGGAGGAC